TTATTGTGCCGACACACACTACAAGAAATTCACTACTTTTATACTGCTCATCGATTAATCACTATTGGGCAGGTCCATATATACCTTTGAATAATGGTTTTCATACTAAATATAAATGAAGAGCATTATCGTCAACTTCTTTCAAAATCTTTGGATATATAAAAAAAGAGACGTGGAAATATAATTTCCCAACCTATAATCCTGCTAAATGAGTAAAATTAAAAGGTCATCCGATATATAATGACTTTAGCGGAAAAAGAAACATTTTTTTTAGAAAACTTGGAATTAGACTGTAACATTGGTTGATTTTATGGTAAGAAGTCCATTAAAAACCCAACCAACTTAACTTTTTAACTAAACCGTAAGTTTTCAAACCATTCAAAAAAAACCCAACGAAATATATACATATTTTTAAAAGCCAACACACTTAACCTTTCAAGTTTCCAAACCATTCTAAAGCTATTCAAAAAACCCAACGAATGGTTTGGAAATTTCGTTGGACTTTTAACCCAACAAACATAAACCCAAAACAAAGTATATACATATTTTTTTTATCGAAAACATTAATGATTTTATAGTTAAACTAAACAGTAATGTATTGTATTGTTAAACAAAAGCAAAAATGTGCCTTTAATTTGAACCAAAACAACATCCTTATATTTTTAAACCCGAATAATAACGTATTTTTATTTTTAATACATAACAACAATTTATTTTATTTTTAACCAAAAACAAAAAACATAAATTACAAATATAATTTCAACTTAATTGCCTATTTTTTGGAGCATGAGATGATCTGAAAAAAAAAAAAGAACGTATTTACAGCCATTCGGTTATTGCTCGCATTATTATGCCGATACACACTATAAGAAATTCACTACTTTTATCCTGCTCATCCATTAATCACTATTGTGCAGGTCCATATATATCTTTGAATAATGATTTTTATACTAAATATAAATGAAGGGCATTAACGTCAACTTCTTTAAAAATCTTTGGATATATAAAAAAGAGACGTGGAAATATAAATTCACAACCTATAAGCCTGCTAAATGAGTAAAATTAAAAGGTCATCTGATATATAATGACATTCGCGGGAAAAGAATTTTTTTTTTTTTTGAAAACTTAGAATTAGACTGTAACATTGGTGGGTTTTCTGGTAAGAACTCCATTAAAAGCCCAACCACCTTAACTTTTTATCTAAAATGTAAGTTTTCAAACCATTCAAAAAAACCCTACGAAATATATACATATTTTTAAAAGCCAACAAACTTAACCTTTCAAGTTTCCAAACCATTCTAAAGCCATTCAAAAAAACCCAACGAATGGTTTGGAAATTTCGTTGGACTTTTAACCCAACAAACTTAAACCCAAAACAAAGTATATACATATTGTTTATCGAAAACATTAATGTTTTTATAGTTAAACTAAACAATAATATATTGTGTTTTTAAACAAAATAAAAAAGGTGCCTTTAATTTGAACCAAAACAACAACCTTATATTTTTAAACCCGAATAATAACGTATTTTTATTTTTAATACATAACAACAATTTATTTTATTTTTAACCGAAAACAAAAAACATAAATTACAGATATAATTTCAAGGTAATTGCCTATTTTTTGGAGCATGAGATGATCTGGAAAAAAAGAAGGTATTTACAGCCACTCGGTTATTGCTCGTGTTATTGTGCCGGTACACATTACTAGAAATTCACTATTTTTATCCTGCTCATCAATTAATCACTATTGTGCAGGTCGATATATATCTTTGAATAATGGTTTTCATACTAAATATAAATGAAGGGCATTATCGTCAACTTCTTTAAAAATCTTTGGATATATAAAAAAGAGACGTAGAAATATAAATTCCCAACCTATAAGCCTGGTAATGAGTAAAATTAAAAGGTGATCAGATATATAATGACTTTAGCGGAAAAAGAAACTTTTTTTTTTGGAAAACTTAGAATTAGACTGTAACATTGGTGAATTTTATGGTAAGAACTCCATTAAAAGTCCAACAAACTTAACTTTTTATCTAAAACGTAAGTTTTCAAACCATTCAAAAAAAACCCTACGAAATATATACATATTTTTGAAAGCCCAACAAACTTAACCTTTCAAGTTTCCAAACAATTCTAAAGCTATTCAAAAAACGCAACGAATGTTTTGGAAATTTCATTGGACGTTTAACCCAACGAACTTAAACCCAAAACAAAGTATATACATATTTTTTATTGAAAACATTAATGCTTTTATAGTTAAACTGAACAGTAAAGTATTGTATTTTTAAACAAAAACAAAAAAGTCCCTTTAATTTGAACCAAAACAACATCCTTATATTTTTAAACCCGAATAATAACGTATTATTATTTTTAATACATAATAGCAATTTATTTTATTTTCAACCAAAAACAAAATATATAAATTACAGATATAATTTCAAGGTAATTGCCTATAGTTTGGAGCATGAGATGATCTGGAAAAAAAGAAGGTATTTACAGCCACTCGGTTATTGCTCGTGTTATTGTACCAATACACACTACTAGAAATTCACTACTTTTAACCTGCTCATCAATTACTCACTATTGTGCTGGTCCATATATATATCTTTGAATAATGGTTTTCATAGTAAATATAAATGAAGGGCATTATCGTCAACTTCTTGAAAAATCTTTGGATATATTAAAAAGAGATGTGGAAATATAAATTCGCAACCTATAACCCTGCTAAATAAGTAAAATTAAAAGGTCATCCGATATATAATGACTTCAGCGGAAAAAGAAACATTTTTTTTGGAAAACTTAGAATTAGACTGTAACATTGGTGAATTTTATGGAAAGAACTCCATTAAAAGCCCAACCAACTTAACTTTTTATTTAAAACGTAAGTTTTCAAACCTTTAAAAAAACCCAACGAAATATATACATATTTTTAAAAGCCCAACAAACTTAACCTTTCAAATTTCCAAACCAGTCTAAAGCCATTCAAAAAACCCAACGAATGGTTTGGAAATTTCGTTGGACTTTTAACTCAACGAACTTAAATGCAAAACAAAGTATATACGTATTTTTTATCGAAAACATTAATGATTTTATAGTTAAACTAAAGAGTAATGTATTTTATTTTTAAACAAAAACAAAAAGGTTCCTTTAATTTGAACCAAAATAACATCCTTATATTTTTAAACCTGAATAATAACGTATTTTTATTTTTAATACATAACAACAATTTATTTTATTTTTAACCAAAAACAAAAGACATAAATTACAGATACAATTTCAAGGTAATTGCCTATTTTTTTGGAGCATGAGATGATCTGGAAAAAAAAGAAGGTATTTACAGCCACTCGGTTATTGGTCGTGTTATTGTGCCGATAGACACTACTAGAAATTCACTACTTTTATCATGTTTATCAATTAATCACTATTGTGCAGGTCTATATATATCTTTGAATAATGGTTTTCATACTATTTATAAATGAAGGGCATTAACGTCAACTTCTTTAAAAATCTTTGGATATATAAAAAAGAGACGTGAAAATATAAATTCCTAACCTATAAGTCTGCTAAATGAGTAAAATTAAAAGGTCATCCGATATATAATGACTTTAGTGGAAAAAGAAACATTTTTTTTGGAAAACTTAAAATTAGACTGTAACATTGGTGGATTTTATGGTAAGAACTCAATTAAAAGCCCAACCAACTTAACTTTTTATCTAAAACGTAAGTTTTCAAACCATTTAAAAAAACCCAACGAAATATATACATATTTTTAAAAGCCCAACAAAGTTAACCTTTAAAGTTTCCAAACCATTTTAAAGTCATTCAAAAAACCCAACGAATGGTTTGGAAATTTCGTTGGACGTTTAACCCAACGAACTTAAACCCAAAACAAAGTATATACATATTTTTTATCGAAAACATTAATGTTTTTATAGTTAAACTAAACAGTAATGTATTGTATTTTTAAACAAAAACAAAAAGATTCCTTTAATTTGAACCAAAACAACATCCTTATATTTTTAAACCCGAATAATAACGTATTTTTATTTTTAACACATAATAGCAATTTATTTTATTTTCAACCAAAAACAAAATATATAAATTACAGATATAATTTCAAGGTAATTGCCTATATTTTGGAGCATGAGATGATCCGGAAAAAAAGAAGGTATTTACAGCCACTCGGTTATTTCTTGTGTTACTGTGCTGATACACACTATTAGAAATTCACTACTTTTATCCTGCTCATCAATTAATCACTATTGTGCAGGTCCATATATATCTTTGAGTAATGGTTTTCATAATAAATATAAATGAACGGCATTATCATCAACTTTTTTAAAAATCTTTGGTTATACAAAAAAGAGACGTTGAAATATAAATTCCCAACCTATAAGCCTGCTAAATGAGTAAAATTAAAAGTTCATCCGATATATAATGACTTTAGCGGAAAAAGAAACATTTTTTTTTGGAAAACTTAGAATTGATTTTATGGTAAGAACTCCATGAAAAGCCCAACCAACTTAACTTTTTGTCTAGAACGTAAGTTTTCAAACCATTCAAAAAACGCAACGAAATATATACATATTTTTAAAAGCCCAACAAAGTTAACCTTTCAAGTTTCAAACCAATCTAAAACCATTAAAAAAAACCAAAGAATGGTTTGAAAATTTCGTTGGACTTTTAACCCAAGGAACTTAAACCCAAAACAAAGTATATACATATTTTTTTTTTATCGAAAACATTAATGATTTTATAGTTAAACTAAACAGTAATGTATTGTATTGTTAAACAAAAACAAAAAGGTGCCTTTAATTTGAACCAAAACAACATCCTTATATTTTTAAACCCGAATAATAACGTATTTTTATTTTTAATACATAATACCAATTTATTTTATTTTTAACCAAAAACAACAACATAAATTACACATATAATTTCAAGGTAATTGCTTATTTTTTGGAGCATGAGATGATCCGGAAAAAAAGAAGGTATTTACAGCCGCTCGGTTATTGCTCGTGTTATTGTACCGATACACACTACTAGAAACTCACTGCTTTTATCCTGCTCATCAATTAGCTTCCTAAGCTCTGGAACACTCATGGATAGTTTCCTGTATAATGTAGAATACCGAACCCTGATTACATCTGCTGTTCTACCAAAAGCTAGTAGGCTTATAGCTTCTGGAAGTTTAGCAAAGACCTCTTTTATCATCTCCAAGCTCATGTTTTTAAGAACAGAAGGTCGTGGGACAACCCTAACCATTTCACCACTTTTTGGTTCTTGAACACGATCGTCTGCTTTGATTACAAGTTCTAAATGTGAATTTGCTCCCCATTTGATGAAGAAAGGTGTTGTTTCTGTTTGGAATGAAAGCATGTTCCACTGGGTCACGTCCGTATCTTCACCTTCGATTTTTAATTGAACAATGTATATTTCATTCCCAACAATTCAACATTAGAATTTGGTTGCAACTTCTTTTATACAAATTTGTCCAACATTTTTTTCCCCGAACTATTCTTTTACATACATATGTATGTTTTACAACTTGGCTTTCATTTTTTCCTTTTACAAATTCATTTTAAAAGGGTGCTTAACAATAACGATAAATACCAAATTATGGGTTTTGGATTTAGATTCCAGCATCCATATTTTTAATTTTCTATCTTTCTTTCATATTTCATTTTTTAAAACTTTTATTTTTTTATTTCTATAGGTGCAGAAAAAGACAAAACTACAAAAGAGGTGTTATGCTAATACATTTATTATAGAAAAGTTGGGTTCAAATAACATTTTTTAAGAAAAGTCAGTTTTCAAAACATTGACAATTTATATGTAAAAGCGAGTGACCTTTTTTTTTTTCTTTTTTTCTTTTTTTTGGAATGAAATTGTCTTTTACAAATATAATGAGTTTAAATGGATGATTTTTTTTTAATTATATATTTTTTTTGAATTTTCAAGATTTAAGAGCCTTATTAACTAAATTACATTGGCTTCAGAGCAAAACTAAATTTCCTTAAAAGAATCTATTTTAATAAATAAAAATATTTTTACCACCTCACTCTTATTGATTTGACCATATATCATTTTGTGTTTACTTACAATTAAATTTTTTTTCACATTATTTTTTGTGTGTGTGTTTTTTTTTTTTTTTTTTTTTTTTTTTTTTTTTTTTTTTTTTATCAAATTTCACATAATATTTAAATATAACAATTATAATAAATATAATAATAAATGAATATAAATTTCATTAATTGATTTTCTTTTTAATTTAAAAATTTTTAAATTAAAACCGCGTTAATTTCTTTTGTTTATTTATCTAAATTATGTGTTTAATTTTAAAAAGAAAAAAAAGAGCACATTAATTTTAATAATTTAATATTTTTCTAATTTTTCTTTTAAATTCAAACTTTTAAATGTTTAAATTTGATATTTAATTTTTTCTTTTACATAAACCCATCTTATACATTAATTTTACACCTACTTAAATAATACAATAAAAAGACTTACTTGATTAATTAATGCTCCCTCAATCTTCGTAATGACGGTGCGAAATGTAGGTCGTTCCATTAAATTGAAACTAATGCACTGATATGCGATTTCTTTGAATGTATGAAAAGAACTACTTTTAATTTGATCTCTTATATGAGGATCAATCACCATGTCTGAGTTGTTCTGATGGTATCGTCTGACCATATTCATTAGAAATTGTTGCTCATCTCCAATTCTTCTTTCACGATAAACAAGCATTCCACTCATGATTTAAAAAAGTACCACACCAAACGAGTACACGTCTGATTCTTTCCGGGAGTTTTTTGCAAAAATGGGTTGAAAATAGGAACCCTTTGCAAAAATGGGTTGATTCTTATTTTATTTGCAAAAATGGTTTTTTTTGTGGCCCCACATACAAATCAAACGTATTAATATATAATTTTACATTTTGACCCCTTTAATTCTCATAATAACCCCGTAACTTATCTATTATTTACTTTTTATATCTTTAATTTTTAAAGTGTATATTTTAATCTTTATTACATATAATATATAAGTTTATTATTCAAATTACATAATCGGAATTTATTTAAATATCAAATATTTCTTTCTAATCTAATCTAATATATATATATATATATATATATATATATATATATATATATACAATTTTTATGTCAAATTATTTGTAGAAAAAAAACAAAAGCCATTGAATTGTCATTTTTTATTTGCAAAGAAGATGTCACAGTTGTCACTATCCATATGCAAAAGTAGGTGTATTAATTGTCACTATCCACATGCAAAAGTAAAAGTATGAATTATCATTTTCATGTGAAAATATGTAAGTAAAGTTAAAAAAATAATTATCACTTTGTTTACGTTTAATTCATTTTCTGATGTATAAATTGAATTCACCATTTTAGTTACCATCATCATTTTCATAAACCATAGTTCTCACAAATTTGAAATCCCAACTTTTCTTCTTTAATTTTTCAGTTACGTTTGTAACTTCATATACGAATCCTCCTTTGCAGTGTGCATGGTATGTTCGTGTAATGAAAAAGAAAAACCATCATACACGTTGGATGGATGCACACAATTGTTTTGGATCTTGTAGAGGCAATGACAACAGAAGTCTAAACTCTGCAACTATAGCCTTCTACATCATCCACTCAATTGAAAAATATATTGCTTATCCAGTGAAACATATACAAGTAGATATTAAAAATATTCTAAATGTTGACGTTTCTTATTGGAAGGCATGGCATGGTAGGAGAAAAGCCATAGAGAACATTTATGGAACTTGGGAAAGTAACTTTGCAGAGTTACCCAAGTACATTGCAACTTTGCAAACTTCAAATCCTAATACCGTCGTGAAATGGTTTCATAATCCAAATGGCTCATCATATGTGGCAACATTTAAGTATATTTTTTGGGCTTTTGGACCTGCAATTAATGCATTTCATCTATGTTGACCTGTTATTTCCATTGATGCTTGTCATTTGAGAGGTTCGTACAAGGGTAAAAGGCTTATTGTTGTTACAAAAGATGCCAATAATAATATATTACCAGTTTCGTATGCCACTGTTGATGAGGAAAATACACATAGTTGGAGTTGGTTTTTGTATCGGTTTAGAAATTTTTTTTTGTTCAAGACAGACAATTGTGTGTTATTTCAGACCGACATCAAGGAATAATTCATGCAATGGCAAATCTAGAGGAATGGAAAAAGCCATTGGGATACCATCGATTTTGTCTTAGAGGGCATAACCCTTTTTCCATTATCAATCATGTTTACACAACTGTGACGTATAAGCAACAATATAATGATGGGTTTTCACCACTTCCTCATGTTGATTATTGGTTAGAGGCTGATTGGAGTATTCAAGCAGATAACTCAAAATATGTAGTCGGTCGAGGTCGGAGGCATGCAAATTGATTTCGTAACGATATGGATGTTCGCCATCGTGATGAACCTCGTAAATGTGGACAATGCCATCAACCTGGTCATAACAGGAGAGATTGTTCAAATTCTCAACCAAGATTCAATGTGATGTGAACCATGTAACTTTTTATTATTCTTGTAATTTTATGTTTAATTTAGTTTTTAGTTCATGTTTAATTTCTTTTGTAGTTGTGTCTTTAATTATCTTGTAATTTCGTAATTTTGTAACATGTAATATATTCGATATTGGTATCAATTGGAATGTGTTTATTAAAATTTTCTAATGATGTAAATCGCAATAGCATAATGGACATATTTCGGTTATATGTTTTTAATATATAAAAATTTACATTTGTTGTAAAAAAGCTAAAAAAAAGCAATTCTTTTACAAAAAAAAGATATAAAATAAATATAACATATAAGTTGTAGGGTTATTATGAAAGTTGAAGGGATCAAAATGTAAAATTATATATAAATATGTTGATTTTTAAGTGAGGATACAAAAAAAACAACCTATTTTTGTAAATGAAATAAAAATCAACCCATTTTTGCAAAAGATTCCTATTTTCAACCCATTTTTGCAAAAAACTCTTCTTTCCGGAGGATGCGGTTTTCATGGTAAGCGGGATCCAAGTAAAACTGGGTACCCGCAACCTTTGTATGGAGTTGGGTATCTGGCTGATTTCTGGGACCGAATTTTGACAAGCCAAAATCACAAATCTTAGCTACCATATTTTCATCTAGCAATATGTTAGCACTCTTGACATCTCTATGTATTACTCTATTATATTCCCCAAGGCCGGAGTGAAGGTAATCGAGTCCTCTTGCCGCCCCTATGCAAATCTTCAGGCGTTGTACCCATGTTATGCATCTCATCTTATTTGGGTCTCGGAGATGATAATCAAGACTTCCCATCATAGCATATTCATAAACAATAATCATCTCAACCCCTTCATCACAGTAACCAATAAATGAGATGATGTTTTCGTGGTGGAATCTGGATATCATCTCAAGCTCGTTGTGGAACTCGCGCTCTCCTTGATAGCTATCCCTACCTAGCCGCTTGACAGCAGCTGTGCGGCATTGCCAGCGTTCAGAGAGTTGTCCTTTGTAGACAGCACCAAATCCACCACCTCCGATATATCTTTCCTCACTGAAGCTTTCGGTGGCACGCTTTATCTCATGGAGTGGAATTAGATAATTTTCAAGGTTTATCCAAGAAGAAGACATCCTATTTTAATATAGGTGATGAGGTATGGATATGTGAGTGTAACAGCCGGGGTGTTGGCCGACCGTAGCCGTTCTGGGCAGAGGAGATTAGAGGATATCTAACGGAAGGTCACTTGCTGTCGGTTTTATGAAGAAGAAGTTTAAGGGGGCAGTGAAGTTAAAGGCTTGACTTTTTGAGCGAGTATACGTATTGATTTTATGGATATGTTATATGTGGACTAGATATCACCGCGCCTAAGGTCCATGTATCTAGCTTTGTATTGATTTTATTAGTGTTTTATTTTTATATACAATAATTAATACATTTTTTTGATTATTACGTTAGTTTTTTTTTTCGTCCACTGAGACTAATATATTGACCATTATGTCCTTCATTTAATTATCGTCATGTTTCCAAATTCGCCTATATTGCATGCATTCTCTCACTGAATTTACAAAACTTGAGTTTTTAACTATACTAGTAACTTTACAAAACATGAGTTTTTAACTATACTAGTAACAGAAAAAATATATAACAAACGATTTTATTTTTTAGAAATATTTACCAAAAGAGAGGTGATTTTTCCATCGACACTTAGGCCAAATGGTATACCAAGCACGAGGACGTTTGTGGTCGAGTTGGCCACGAACAACGGGCGTGCACACCACCCCGTTGTTTCGTGGTGGCTCGTTTTTGTGGTCACTCGTGTTCGGGACAACGGACTCGCACGACCAATTGGATTTCACTCACAATTTGAACGTTACACTAGCCATTGAACAGCTAGTTTCTTTAAAAAAAAATTAAACCATTTATTTACCTATAAATACAATATTTTTACTTCTTATTTTTTACACCATTCTTTTCTATATCTATACACAATCTACATACTAAATCTTCACAATTAAAAACCATGGATCCCAACCAAAATACCCATCCAAATTACAGAAATCGCAAACCCGATAACGCTTTTGTGTTAGATACAACACATTGCCAATTCCCGACTATGAAGCCACCTCAAGACGGTTTTCTCAGTCTACCTCAAACTGGTTCCCCTATCCAACAAACACCACTTTTCCAACAATAATATAAACATTTTCATCTTTCCAACAACAACAAATTTCACAACAATACCAACAATTTCAACAATTTCAATAACTACAACAACTCCAACAACAATCGTCACAATAACAACAACTTCATATTTCACAACCACCAAGCTCACAACCACCACTTTCGCCGGATTTTGTTGCGGAAACGCAACCTTCACCACCACTTCAACCAAAAAAGAAAAAAGGGAAAAAACTGACCCGACCCACTACCACCCAAGAAAGGGTTCCATGGACAAAAGAAGAAGAAGAAAAGTTAGCGGATGCATGGGTGGCGGCTCCGAAGATCCAACTGTAGGCGATAGTCAGTCTTACGGAAGTTTTTGGGAAAAAGTCCAAGCCATTTCTACGAGTTAATGGAAAGTGCAACTCGAAACGTCGATCAAACTACTTCGAAATGGCGTGATATTCGACTAAAATGCACCGAGTTTGGTGGAATCTACAACAACCTCTTAAACATACGCAAAAACGGTTCGAACGATTTTGATGTTGTTAAGGTGGCCATGGAGCAATTTGAAAAAACAACACCAACACGCAAAGCTTTTCCGTATATTAAACCGTGGCTAAAATTGAAAGACGCCCCAAAATAGAAAGAGCAAACGGAAGGAACTTCGCAATCTTCTGGTTCAAAGAGTTCGAGAAACCTCGATGCAACTTCCCAACAATCGGGCGGCCGAACACACATTGACATCAACGACGATCCGCTAGATTTTGAAAACAACCAACCTCTTTGTCGGCCCGTTGGAAGAAGTAAAGCAAAAAAAAAAAAAAAAAACGGCGTCAACATCTTCGAATTCTAGTGTTATGGATATGTTTCACAATAAATTTGATCGATATGTGCAACTTCAAGAAACGAAATCCGAGGTGATGACTCGGATGGAACAAAAAATGATCGAAGCACACTCATCATATCAAGAGGTACAAACGACGCTTCAAACAAAAACCAATATGGAAATCTTGAAAATGAAAGTCGACGACCTCGATGGCGAAGACTTGGAACTTTTCCAAGCGATAAAAGCGTCACCTCGAGCCCGACGTAGGCGTACGGGGTATTTTATTTTATTTATGGTTAGAATTTTTAGTTTTTTTAATGTTTTTTTTTTAAAAAAAAATTTACGTAATGTAATTTTTATTTTTATTGTTTGATTTTTTTTTTCAATTAATATAGTTTTTATTTAATGTAATTTGGTATTTTAATTTAATGGAAAAACTAGTATTAAAAAATGACTTTAATGTATATTTGAATTAAATTTAAATAAAAAAATAAGGTGGAGTAGTGTATTAGTGGTAGGTATCCCATACTAGTGGTAGGAGAATGTGGTGCTGATGTTGCACCCAGTACATATGTTGTATGTGGTGGGTATAACGGATGGTCTTATACCCAAATTTAATTAAGAAATATGTAAGAAACACAAATCATATTTTTTTGTTTCCAAAAAATCACCATCAATATTTTTTACCGGTGCATTTCAACTTTGAATCAAAATTAAGCCCTCCGTTTCCATATGCTTGTTTTCTCAAAAGAGATGACAATTCTACTAAAACCTGAATCCTTAATGAAACACTAAAACCCTTGATCAGAATTCGAAATCCCTATTTTCTGGTATTATAAAAGCATTACAGAATCAGAATCAAAGTTATCTCTATGGGAATGGGAATTGAGAAGAAATGGATTTTCATTCACTTCATCGTTGCAATCATCTCTTTGACACTCTTCATCTCCTTAATCTTTGGTTTCAGTGCATTGTACGCCTCCTACAAATCCTTCTCCTCCACCGTCCACCGTGAGACTCATTACCCTCCATTATTTTCTGGTTGTTGTTGGCGGTGTACCATGTAGGAATCGGTATTTGTTGTACATTGGGATAAAGGGTTCTATCGATGAAAGGAAGAGGTCGGCTCATGCGCGAATTTGAGGATACCATCTACTTTTGTAACCATACTCGACACCGACGACGTACATTCTAATGTTGTACTCTGAGTATTTCAAAACAACGTGTACGACCGGCTAATCTACCCAAGTTGTCGAGTCATTGTTGATCTATAGTAATATGTAAGACGGGAGAATCGATGGAGGAAATTACAAGCTAACATACATCCAGAATAACTGTAAGAGATCATGATGGACTTGGGCTATGAGTTGGAGAGGGAGGGAGCTGGTGGCGGATTGAAAAAACATGAAGTCTATTTTTATTTGTTTACCATAAAACTTTTAAGTAAAAATATGTGTTTTGCTATCTTTTGGTAAATAGTTTTAACTAGGGTTTGATCATCCGCGCGATGCTGCGGAAGTCCCAGTTTGTTCAAAAATGCAGATCGACACCATACATACCACAGAGACGATTAAACCATATAAAGTGGAGCATAAAAATATAAAAGTAAAACTTGGATACAAATAATTATGTACGGAGGAGGTGGACAAAAATAAAACTTGAAATTGTATCATAAATAAATTGATAAAAAAAGATTATTAAAAAAATATGTAAGGGGTCAAAGTGTAATTTTAAAATATAATAGGTGATTAAATCGTAATGTATAAAATACAAATAATTTAACTTTAAAATTATGAGGGTGAAAACTGTTAAATAAAAATTAATTTATAGGAAAAGATTATAAATATGAAAATCTTTTATGATCAGAACCTAAATGGCTATTTCTAGAAAACTATTGTTTTACATTTAATAATGAATGCTTGTCAATATATACCATGATTTGGTTTTAGTAAACTTGGATTTGGAAATAGAAAAAAGAAATATAAATGGTGGCAACATCAATGATATAGAAAAGGACACCATGCATAATCCACACATAAAAATAGAATTTGAAATGAAATGAATAGTGATACTCTTCGCAAACCGATTTTGGTAATATATATATATATATATATATATATATATATATATATATATATATATATATATATATATATATATATATCGAAACGACAACTGGCTAAACTATTCCTTCAATGCACTTATATCCATAACGGGACTTGATTCTTCAACCTTAAAAATGGAGGACAACACCGAATACTGTTAGGCTATAAACCCTTTGGTAAATATTTTTGTGTTAAATATTATTTAATTTACTAGTATAGTTAATAAATTAAGTGCGACAATGCATGCAATATAGGTTAATTTGGAAACAAACGTGTAATTTAAAGAAATTAAATGAAGTACATCATGGTCAATGTATTAGTATTTCGGTGGACCAATAAAAACTCTATATAGAAAATTAGTTCCCATATATATTAAATTCAAAGATCAACTTGCTGTCTTGATATGTGTGGTACATCCAATTTTTTTGACATTTCTAACCTTAATATATTTGATCATTCTCAAAGGGAATTGATTTTTCCACGCTATATTTTTATCAATCCATTGGAGTTTATTTGTATTGCCAATTATACCCTTCTATTATGTTTTGTAGATATTAAATAGAGAAAAATATTCTAGGGATATGTTTCTAAACGATCATGACGCTCCTTTGTTATTCCTGCTTTTTCATCGGGGCAGCTTCTTCATCAGCCCACTCTCAAATGGTAAACGATTGTCATTCTATGATTATTTTAAAACCATGTGTATGCGTATGAATTTTCAATCTCTGATTCTCAATCTTCTTCATTGTTATTATCAATTATCAAGCACGTCATTGTTATGCGAATGATTTGCCACGGTTTTCTAACGATTAAACATATTGATTTTATGTGTGTGTGTATGATTCTCGGATTCTCTATACATGCGTATGAATTGTAATGTTTTTGATCAATCGTCAGTTCTCTTAATCTCTTATTCTTTTATTGGTATGCGACAATTGCTTCGTAGTCATACACTTTGTCTTGAAGAAATTTTTTTCAAGTCACCTTACATTGACACATTGTATAAAATAAAATTTAGACTAGTTATATGATAGGT